ATTGGAATGTCTATATACATCATGAATATGACCAAATCTGGCCTTTTTTCTCCATCTTCATTATATTACTGAGCAATGCCTGTATGAATGACCCATGTTGGGATATGTATATGCATTTCTGATATTTGTTGGATATTAAAAGTATGCCATATTGTAAATAAAAAAGTAAATGAGACATATGCGTGTCTTGGTGTATAAATATATCCTATAAAGAGAGACACACAGACAAACTGACAGACAGATGCATAGATTGGCAAATACAGGAATATATATATATAAATGACACATTAAGTTTGCCTAAACAAGGTCCAAAAATTTACCTTTGTGCATCATGGGTCATAAATGCATTTATTGACATATATTTCAATATTCATTAGAATGTAGTCACATTCAGTTACATTGATAAAATGTTAACTCTTACAAAGTATTCTTGATAATGATTCATTCAAATAAGGCCAACTAATATTGCTCATTAGGAAAAGATGACTACCCCAACATTAGATTTGCCATTACATAATACTTTTTTCAAAAGTGCATACATGAAAAACTTATACTCAGAAACTAATTGAGTTGGTGTATGCCTTTTCATTAATTTTTTGAGCATCAATACTTATAAATATATAATAAACACATTCTAGAATATTCCAATTTCTTGAGATTATTTGAAAAAAAAAAAATAAAATAAAAATAAATGAAAATAGACTGTCTTCAATGTTTATGAGGGTGTCCAGGTGATGCCAGAAGAAAGTAGTAACCTTCAATTACTTGAGCAAAATATCAACATTGTATTTCACATGCTACAGTTAGATTCTCTCCAATATTTGAAGATCAACCTTTGTCCTGATGCATATTTCCAATGGGAAAAAGAGAAAAAAGAATATGAAAAACAGAACCAAATGCTGTTATTGGGAGACATCGAGAATACTTTGTGGTATAACAACCATTCTTTGAGAAATTCTAATGTAATGGCTTGTACTGTAATGTTCATTCCAAATAACTTGAATACAAACCCCTAAGACAACTATGACCTCTGCAATATCGGACAAATATCAGACACATAATTTAAATAGTAGTGGTTATAATCAGTGTACCTATAAATATATAATGAACATACTTTTTTATTAACTCGTTAACACCGGCATATTTTTAAGCCGAAAATAAAGGTTCTGGGAGGCTACAAAATTGGCTCACAGGGCTGGCCCAGACTCTGCCCACGCGCTGGCCGCGGCCTGCTACGGAGTCAGAGCACAAGCCCCGATATAGTGTCACACTGGCGGGACACCCAGCAATTTTCATTTTTTCGGGTGTCTCATATGTGGAACACCCGTCAGTGGGTTAAAACTTATGAACTTATTTTGCATAGTTCACTTCAATTACTGATGTCATCTTAACCCACTTACGACAGGTGTGCCACATATGAGACACCCGGAAAAATAAAATTGCCGGGCGTCCCGCAAGTGTGACGCTGTATCGGGGTTCACACTCCGCCTCAGCGGCGGGCCACGATTTTGTAGCCGCACGGAAACTTTTATTTTCAGCTTCAAAATATACCAGTGTTGGTGGGTTAATGAATCATTTTACAAATATGAATTTCTTCCAAGGTTTGAAATTTATAAATTACAATCTTATATTGGCATTGAAGAAAATAACATTACTGAAAAGTATTATGTGCTGTTTTACTTTTATGGCAAATAAAAAAAATGAAAATATACACATTCCAATAATTTTGCTAAATACTAAATGTATGGCATGATGAAGTTAATTGTGAGAAAAGTACTGATACAAAAAAGTGTGTTCTAGCCCCTAAATATGTTATTTTCAATATTTTACGACAAAATGATAATTATCATATGTTCTTTGATAGAAACAATTTATGCAAGCTTTATAATAAAACTAAAAATGAAGATTCCAGCTTAGTGAATTACATTCTCCTTTGCAAGTTTTCAAACATGTTTTTTTATTATCTTAAACAGGTTGAACATAAATTCAAATTCTGAAACCTTCTCCTGCATATATCAAATCACTTTCTACAACAATTAACCTTGCTTTACTAACATTCTAATAATATTTGACTGAGACCATAAATAATCTAAGTACAGTAAAAAAGTAAAAATGTCACAGAAAATAAAAAAGATCCCAACAAACAGCTTCCTTCCATGTTCTTTGAACTTTAAGGGATCTATTACCTTATCCAACATGACGGACATTAGTGTGTTCCTCAAATACTTAAATGCAAGCTTGGTCCATGCTATTGCAGATTAACCTGTGGAGAAAGCAATCATACAAAACTAAATGTCAAAAACTAGATTACAAATTATCTCAGAGACAAGTACCTAATATCATTTAAACTCATTCTTTAAATCCACATGAAAATGTAATAATAAAGGAAGAACATTGCATGAAAGATCCATGAATGATACACTCACTCTAGACTATCATTAGCTTTTCTCTTGCAGTGACATACTTAATACAAAATAAATTACAGGGTTTGTTGCAACAC